TTAATCGCGATTTAAAAAATTAATTGCGATTAATCGCAGTTTTAATCACACTGTTAAACAATAGAATGCCAGTTGAAATTTATTAAATATTTTAGATGTAAATTTCAAGTATTTGAAAATGTAGAAAAACAACACAGAATACAAAGTGTACACTGCTCACTTTATATTATTTTTATTACAAATATTTGCACTGTAAAAATGATAAACAAAAGAAATAGTATTTTTCAATTCACCTCATACAATACTGTAGTGCAATCTCTATCGTGAAAGTGCAACTTACAAATGTAGATTTTGTTTGTTTGTTTGTTTGTTACATAACTGCACTCAAAACCAAAACATTGTAAAACTTTAGAGCCTACAAGTCCACTCAGTCCTACTTCTTGTTCAGCCAATCACTAAGACAAACAAGTTTGTTTACATTTACAGGAGATAATGCTGCCCGCTTCTTACTTAACAGTGAAATGAGAACAGGTGTTTGCATGGCACTGTTGTAGCTGGCATTGTTAAGTATTTACGTGCCAGATATTCTAAATATTCGTATGCGCCTTCATGCTTTGGCCACCATTCCAAAGGACATGCTTCCATGCCAATGACACTCGTTTAAAAAAATAAAAAAAAAGAAGCATTAATTAAATTTGTGACTGAACTCCTTGGGGGAAGAATTGTATGTGTCCTGCTGTTTTGCCTGCATTCTGCCATATATTTCGTGTTATGGCAGTCTCTGATGTCGACCCAGCACATGTTCGATTTTAAGAATATTTTCACTGCAGATTTGACAAAATGCAAGGAAGGTACCAGTGTGAGATTTCTACAGCACTTGACCCAAGGTTTAAGAATCTGAAGTGTCTTCCAAAATCTGAGAGGGACGAGGTGTGGAGTATGTTTTCAGAAGTCTTAAGAGCAACACTCCAATGCGGAAACTACAGAACCTGAACCACTGAAAAAGAAAATCAACCTTTTGTTGGTGGCGTCTGACTCAGATGATGAAAATGAACATGGGTCTGTCTGCACTGCTTTGGATTGTTATCGAGCAGAACCTGTCATCAGCATGGACGCATGTCTTCTGGAATGGTGGGCGAAGCATGAAGGGACGTAGGAATCTTTACGGCATCAGGCACGTAAATATCTTGCGACGCCAGCTACAACAGTGCCATGCAAATGCCTGTTCTCGCTTTCAGGTGACATTGTAAATAAGAAGGGGGCAGCATTATCTCCTGCAAATGTAAACAAACTTGTTTGTCTGAGTGATTGGCTGCACAAGCAGTAGGACTGAGTGGACTTGTAGGCTCTAAAGTTTTACATTGTTTTATTTTTGAGTGCAGTTATTTTTTTGTACAGAATTCTACATTTGTAAATTCAACTTTCATGACAGATTGTACTACAGTACTTGTATTAGGTGAATTGAAAAATACTGTTTCTTTTGTTTTTTACAGTGCAAATATTTGTAATAAAAAATAAATATAAAGTGAGCACTGTATACTTTGTATTCTGTGTTGCAATTGAAATCAATATATTTGAAAATGTAGACAACATCCAAAAATATTTAAATAAATGGTATTCTATTATTGTTTAACAGAGCAATTAATCGAGATTAATGTTTTTAATCGCTTGACAGCCTAAATTTGAAGCCCAGAAAGTAGCACTGTGATCATCCAGTCTGATCTCCTATATAACTCAAGCCCTAGAACTTCCCCAAAATAATTCCTGTTTGAACAAGAGCAGATCTTTTACAAGAACATCCAGTCTTAAATGGAAAATTCCCAGTGATGGAGAATCCATCCAGCCCTTGATAAATTGTCCCAATGGCTAATTACCCCGACTGTTAAACAGGGATGCCTCATTTCCAGTCTGAATTGTTGACCTACTAATCCATCTTGGGACAGAAATAGCCTCTTCTGTAAATCCAGAGAGAATATTTGTCAAAGTTGAGATTGGGAGTTGAAAAAGCAGGAAAGTTTATTTTCCTCTTCCACTCATGGTGGGCGTTGAGCAGATCTGGGTGAGCTGAGAAGTGGACTGAACTAGTCTGGAGCACAGTGAAGTATAAATTGCATCGGCAGTGAAAAGCAAGAGGATTTGTGATTCCCAGATCTCTAACTGGAGGTGGAAGGAGTCACACTAAGGACATAAACAGTCTCCTTTCAAGCTTTAACTTCTCATTTTTGCAGCTTTATTTAGTTCCTTTCAACTTCCCACTGAAATCCCTTAACCTTGCCAAACGTATTGCTACAGCGGGATCAGGAGGAAGACAGTGGTCAGCATGCCACCCCTGCCCAGCCTGGACCTCAAAGTTACCGATACTGTAAGTTCCCCAGAAGCACGGTCTCCTAGCATGAAGGCTTCTTGAGCTTTAGTGGGCCATCCTGGTGCTCATGGACTCTAAAGCCCTTCATGGTTAGGGGGTGTCTCAGTCGATTTCTGCCATGTCACTGCCCCAGCCCTAGCTACCTAACACACCTGCTCTGAATTTTAGATCTAGCGATGAGTCTGTTTTGCCTTAATGCCATTGGTCATGGGAAGGTCCTAGCTCAGCCCCATCGGCTATAGGAGGGTAGTGGGGAGGTTGTATATTTCCCCCTACTGTGGGCACTGGGAATCTTGGGGTATTTGTCCCGCTATCATGTCTGAGGCTGGCAGGAGTGTAGAGGGGTTTGTACATAGAGCTGGGCAAAACTCTTCACCCAAAACATTTTTTGTTGTTGGAAAAAAAATGCAGATTTGGCAACACGGAACCATTGTGTGAATTCATCTCAGTTCCGCCAAATTGTTACGACTGAAAAAAAACTAACTTTTTTCTTAACCTTTTTTTTTTTTAAACATTTGACCTTTTGGTGTTTTGGCTCAAAATGATGTCGGCTCAAAATATCGTTTTCTTAACCTTTTAAAAATGGTCAAAAATCAAACATTTTGTTCGACCCGAAACGGATTGATTTTGACTTTTCGGAAATGCCAGCGCATCCATTGCCAGAAAATCGATTCTTCCCCCCCCCTCCCCCCACCAGCTCTTGTATGTTGGCGTATAACGTGACCCATCCGTGGGAGCTGTCCTCGTGATGACCCCCTGTGAATTCAGGCGGGAGAACTGGGCGTACGTCAGGAGCGCCCCGGGAATTTCGGGCGCCCGATGACTGTGCCCAGGGAGGGGAGCAGAAGCACTACAAGGCCAGTCTCTGACCTCACTCCTCTTCCCTGATGCAGTCGGAGCTGACAGACCTGGTGCAGTCGTACCACGACGAGCTGGTGGACGCGGCCTGCGCTCTGACCTGCCACTGGGCTGAGAAGATCCTCAAGCGCTCCTTCAACAGCATCGTGGAGGTTGCTCAGTTCCTCATCCAGCAGCACCTCATCAGCTCGCGCTCCGACCGTGCGGACCTGGTCATGGCCATGGTGGTCTCAGGTGGGTCGGGCGTTCAGAAGGGGATTCCTACCGCAGGACCCGCTCCTGTGCTTGTGTGTGGGGGGCAGGCGGGATCCCCATTGCCTAGTGTGGGGCTCGGTGGAGTATTGGGACTTCCCCGTGCAGCGCTCGTTTCAGGGTTGGGGCTACTGAGGGTGCCGCAGGCCTGTCTACCCAGGCTGGCTTCAGCCTAGCTGCTGCCTTAGTTTCCTCTTCATCCACTCCCCAGTAACGGACATAGGGCTGCGTGTGTTGAGAAACACCCCTTCGTGGGGCTGGGTTTATTCAGATTCCCAAGGAAACTCAAGCACTCCCCTCCACCCCAGCCTCCCGGCTGGCTCCCACCCCGCAACGCTCTTAGGCATAGAGATCATCCAACCTGACCACCTGTGTATTGCAGGCCACCAACCCACCCAGCACCCGCACCCCAAAAGCAACCAGACTGAGACCAAAGTATCCCAGCCAGCAGGAGACTAGACAGTTCTCTGCCGCAGGCAGAGAAGGGGAAGGATCCTGGTGCACCAATGCCCGAGGCCTCTGCAATGGCAGAGAATGAAGTGAGAGATTCCCGGCACCTCGTGCTGCAGAAGGAGGCAAAAACTCCCAGGGTCCCTGCCATGCTGACCTGGGGGAAATTCCTGCCCGACCCCACATATGGCAGCGATTGGTTAGACCCTGAGCATGTGAGCAAGAGCCAGCCAGCCGAGCAGCTGACGGGAAGAATGCTCGGTGCCACCTCGGAGCATGGCCCTCCCCGTCCGGTGTCCCAGCTCCAGCCGTCTTGTCCCCACTGTGTCAGCAGCAGACTTGCTCTCCGGTCTCCCTACCAGGCTCCTGCTGCCTGCAGGCTGCACCCCTGGGCTCTCTGGCTGGGTCGCTCCGTGCAGAGCAGCTCATGCAGCCCCCCTCCTCCTTTGAGTCACCCTTCTCCTTCCTCTGAGTCTTCACAGGCTTTCTGGCAAAGCTTAAACCACGGCAGCTGCGCCGCTGGTGCACCTCAGCATAGACCCTTGTGACAGCGATGGGAGGGGCTCTCTTGTCGCAGACGTTAATCCACTGCCATGGGAGGAAGAACCCTTCCACCGACCTAGCGCTGTCTTTGCCGGGGGCTAGGTCTGCTTTACTGTGTCACTCGGAGGGGTGGATTTTTCACACCCCTAAGCGACGTAGCTGGCTTGACAGAACTTTTTAGGGTAGCCCTGGCCTATGACAGCCAAGCACTGGACACCAGAAATAATTCAAGTCTTTCCCCTTCCCCAGCGTCCTTTAAGAATTGCAGTGTTGCTTTTAATAGGTCTCCGTTTTCCTGATGCGCTTACTAGGTGTTGCAGTGAAAATGTGGATACTTAAAGGTCTGGATACTTAAAGCTTTCTGTATATCCCCTTTCAATGGTACATTCTGCAGTCCCAAAGGAGTTGATCACCTCTTTCCTGGACCTTTTCCTGTTCTGTCTTCATGTTTGTTTATTAGAAAGAAATTACTGTTTGAGCCACAGTGACCAGTTAAAATTCTAAATAGAGCCACTTCACTCATTCTCTCAGGGCCTTGGAGTACATGAGTATTTTCTACTCTTGGGCACGTTTCATAGAATCATAGGACTGGAAGGGACCTTGAGAGATCATCTAATCCAGTCCCCTGCACTCATGGCAGGACTGAGTATTATCTAGACCATCCCTGACAGGGGTTTGTCTAACGCTCTTAAAAATCTCCAGTGATGGAGATTCCACAACCTCCCTAGGCAATTTCTTCCAGTGTTTAACCACCCTGACAGTGAGGAAGTTTTTCCTAATGTCCAACCTAAACCTCCCTTGCTGCAATTTAAGCCCATTGCTTCTTGTCCTGCCCTCAGAGGTTAAGAACAATTTTTCTCTCTCCTTCTTGTGACAACCTTTTCACAGCATCTTTTCCCCTTTGTTTCTTTGGGCCCATATTTCCTGCCGTTAACTTGTTTTTAATTAGATTTTTAAACTCCAGTTTACTTACAGGGGTGTCTAAATCAACTTGCTCGTGTTTAACGGCATTTTTTGCCACATTGTCATTGCCCACCACCCCTTCGTGCGCTGGGTTCCGTGCTATCACTGTGATTACACCCAGCTTCATCAGTTCCGTTGTTAACGGTAACGTTTCATTACATGGCGCCTTGCCGCTATCCGAAGAGTGGTTTCTGATCGCCTGGAGTCCTGATAAGGAATCAGACAGGAGGACCACAGCGACTGGGCTAACATCTATAATCCAATTTAACGCCAGCATTTTCACTGCCAGTTCAGTCTTTGAAACGGCCCCAAAGTTTGATAGCTCTACAGCTTTCTTGATTCCACATGCAGGAACGCAGTTCCCACTTTTCCTGTTCTCATACCTTTGGAGCCATCAGCATACATTGTTGGCAGTAGTTAGTATCCTAGAATATCAGGGTTGGAAGGGACCTCAAGAGGTCATCTAGTCCAACCCCCTGCTCAAAGCAGGACCCAATCCCCAACTAAATCCCCAAATCCCTAAATGGCCCCTTCACAACCCTGGGTTTAGCAGGCCAATGCTCAAACCACTGAGCTATCCCTCCCCGCTACTTATCACAGACGTATTGATTTGCTATATTTTCCTCTTTCAGTTTCACTAGACAATTCTGTATCTACCTCCGAAGGTATAATTTTCCAATGTTAATGCATTTTCCCAAAGCTATAGATTTCAACCTCCTCTGGGTCTTTATGCTAAGATCCTTTGTCCACGCTTTAACCCTCCTTACATGAGGCATTTTGAGTTTTTGCCCTGCACGTCGACCATTTAATTCCTAGCATTCATTATATATTAGCTTAGTGTTTCTCTTCACTGTTTCCAATGATGTTAGCCCCAAAGGCTACATCTAAAAGCTTCATTCTTAAAGTAATGGGCATTTCACCGCCAGTTATCTGCCGTTCACAGCGGCGTTGTGATGAAGGCACCACATGCAGTATGCTACCATCTGCTGAGCTTGGATTGAGTCAAGCCTTCTCAAAGTGGTTTTTGATGCCGAACTGAAATCCTGGCACCGTAATCAGTAACTGGTCTTATTAGCGTTCTGTGCAGCGATACTGCGGCTCTCCACCCTGGGAAGTTCCAGAAATACTTTTAAGTAGGTTGATTCTGCCTTGTCTCTGTTATTTTCAATATGCTCCTTCCGTGTGAGCTTGCTGCTAAATATCACCTGTAAAAATTTGAAGCTTTTTAACTACGCTTCTTTGCGGCCCGTAGAGATACAATTTATAATCTCGTTCAATTTTCCTTTTAGTGACTATTGTTCCCTTAGTTTTGTCAGATGAGAATTTAAAGCCCCACTCCCCATTCCACCTCCTTGCCTCATCTCTATCCCAGAAGCCTGACTTTTCTCATTCTCCCCACCTAGGGAGGTGAGCTAATTATGTGACAAGTGGGGCTGGACCCATCTCCCTTAAAGGGGCCGGCCGCCCTGTGACAGAGGACTGGGTCCTGCTGCTCCTGGGGAAATCACAGTCAAAGTTCCATCTGCTCTTAGCAGGGGGCCCCGTCATCACCTGAGATTAACCCTTTCAGCTGTGACTCACTGTAGAACTCAGTGGGACGTTCCCTTAGCGAGAGCATTTGAAGTCAATTGCCCAGTTTTCATTAGTGCCTCTGCAGACTGTCTACACCAGTATAACTCACGGGGAGGAGCTGCACCGTTCGAACTGTGCCAGTGTGGCTAAAATGGCACGGCTGTTGTGTGTAGACAGCGCCCGCCTCGATTAGGCTATCCAATAGCGGTAGCGCTCTAACCATACCGGCCTAGTTAAAGCAATACGAAGCCCTAATGTTGATGCGGTAATACTGGTGCATCCCTATTTATTATCTCTATTGTATGATCTGTATTTAGACTATAAGGTCTTTGAGACAGGCACTGTCTAGGATCATTTATTAGGTGTATTACAGTCGCCCCTGGGAACCCCAGGGCCCCATTATACTAGGTGGTGTAGGTACACAGAGGTGTGATGGCAACTCCCTCCCCGGGACCCTGGGTGGGGGAGCGGGGCTGGATGTGGGGCATAGAGGGGGGGAACAGGGCTGGACATGGGGGAGAGGGGGGAGTTCCGGTTTTGGTGTGCCTGCGTCAAACCTGCAACTTTAATAATAAACTGGGCCCACCACTTTCGGACATAGCCGTGAACGCAGCCGCTTGCTGGTTTAATGTCCATTTAAAGACCAGTCTTAAGTTATACTGGTGCAGCGTTCACGTGGAGACAAGCCCTCAGGAGCTGGTTTAACCGGAACCAGAATAAACCCACCCTGAAACTGAAGTAGGGGATTGCACCAGTCTTACTAAGGCCACGTCCACACTGAAAATGCTGCAGCTGCTCCGCTTCGCCGCTTCAGTGTAGACACTACCGTGATGAGAGGGGTTCTCCCATCGCTGTAGTTCATCCACCCCCCCGAGGGGCAGTACCTAGGTTGACGGAAGAATTCTTCTGTTGACTTAGCTACTGCCTCTTGGGGAGGTGGATTGCCCACCACGATGGGAGAACCTCTCCTCTTGATATAGGTAGTGTTTACTCTGAAGCACTGCTGCTGTAGTGTTTCAAGTGTAGACAAACCCTGAATTAAACCAGGGTAGCTCTCTTGTATAGACCTGTCAAGCAGAACAGAGTTGGGGCTTTCCTGGCCTGTGACAATAATAAATAATATCCAGGATGGAAAGTAAATGCATTTTTCCCAAATAAATAATAATAAATAATCCCCGTGCTTTTCATCGGTGGCTCTCAAAGCACTAATAATTTAAGAGAAGGAACTTTTTTTTTTTTAAAGGGAAAGAGGGTGTTCTTTTAAGAACAGTCCAGTCCCTGAATTTTTTTTTTTTTGTTGGTTGGTTGGTTTGTTTATAGAAAATTCAGAAAATATCCACCGAGACACTCGACCGTCACAAACTGCCAGGAAGAATGGATTGGAAACATCAGACAGCACTGTCAAAACCCAGGCCCAGGTGAGAAAGTGTTGGGTGGTGGGGAGAAACCTTCCCACTATGACTAGCGCCCTCCTCCCCTAAGAGCTGAAAGGCTGGTATGGTCAGCCCCTGCTTGGAATTCAGCTTACTATTAATCTAAGGAAGAGTGGGGTCTAGTGGTTAGAGCAGGGGGGCACTGGGAGCCAGGACTCCTGGGTTCTAGCTCCAGCTCTGGAAAGAGATTGGGGTCTAGGGTTAGATCAGAGGGAGCAGGGAGCCAGGCCCCCTGGGTTCTAGCCCCAGATCTGGGAAGGGAGTGGAGTCTAGGGTTAGAGCTGGGGGGCTGGGAGCCAGGACTTTTGAGTTCTTTCACACCTCTGCCACTGAATTCATGCCGTTGGCAAGTCCAGTTCTCTGTGCTTCAGTCTCCCCCTATAAAATGGGGGTGGCAGTAGCCTCAGGAGTGGGGCTGTGGGCCCTTATCGCTGAGCCCTAGTCGGGTGTAGGTGTCTGGCGGAGGCACTGGAGATGGGCACAGTATGGGTGTGTGGTGATGCCCCTTCTGCCAATGTCCGTCCGTCTGTCTTTGCCTGTCAGAACAAAAAGGAGAATAACTCGAAACCCTCCGTCCCGCCCCGAGCCGAGAGGAAGAAAACCCCAGAGACCCCCAAGCCGGTGAGCAGCCCTCAAGTCAACGCCCTGGTGGCTCGCCTGCCTTTCCTCCTGCCTCGCATCCAGGCCAGCGAGAGACTGATGCCGCCGGGTGCCCAGGCCGTGCGCTCCTCCCCTCCCATCCTGGCGCCCAAGATCACGGCCACGGCCACGCCCATCGGGGGCACGGTCAAGATGGCCGCCCTGCCGCTGCCGGTGGGCACCGCCTCCTCCCTGCCCATCAACCTGGCGCCAGGCGTGAACGGGGCGGCGGGGCTGGTCAGCCAGCAAGCAGCGGTGCCGGTGATCAACATGATCCTACCCAACGTGCCCGCCAGCGTGAGCATCCCCGTGGCCGAAATCCCAGCCAACCCCAAGAGCGCAGCCGGGGGCGGCAGCGAGAGGCACGGCCCCGCCAAAAGCAGCGAGGGGCCGGCCGGCAGCCAGCAGGAGGCGCAGGGAGCCAAAGGGGCCAAACGCCCCCCGGAGTCACCCAGTGAGGCTGCCACCATCAAGAGGAAGCGCGGTCGGCCCCGGAAGAGGCTGGATGAGGTGGAGGCCTGTTCGCCGGGTAAATGTAGCGGCGCGGAGGAGGGGGGTGCCCCTGAGACCGGAGGAGGGGGCGACGCCGGCCACGAGGGTAGCACATCACGGAGCTCATTCGTCTCAGGCAGGAATGGAGGGTCACCCAGCCCGTGTCCCGGAGAGCCGGGAGGGCTCTGTGTGGGGGGCCCGGACAGCTGGGCTAAGGGAGTGTTGCCCGGTGCTGACAACAGAGGCAGCTCGCTGGACACTGAGCGAGCCACGGGCGCCTCCCAGGTGAGCGTCATCCAGGACAGCCGGTTCAGTGGTCAGAGCCAGCTGAAAGCTGGCGCCCAGGAGCCGGAGCTGGAGGACGATTTGCAGGTGCAGATGAACCCAGGCGAGGCTTCTGTACCAGGATCCCACGGCCCCCAGGAGGGGAGACCTCACCCTCGCTCTCCCTTGGGAGACACCAAACGGGAGAGCCTGGGAAAAAGCCCGGCCTTGCTCCTGCTGTCAGCGATTTCCGCCCCTGACGACCACGCTCAGTCATCCGATTCCAGGAGCTCTCCCGAATTGCTGTGCTACGCGTCTGGCTCGGACGAGTCGTCGCCGGCGGATTTGCACTCTGCCGGCGCTAGCGAGGACAAAGCCGCTAGGCGCCAGCGCAGCCCTGCTTCCAAAAGGCTCCACAGCCCCCAGTCCACAGCGGATCGCCCCTGAGCACGCTCTGTGCAGCGCCCACGCCTCAGCAAGCCGAACTCGTCCTCTGCCCACGCCCAGGAGTGGGCGCTCTGCCACAACCGGATGCCTTGCAGGGAAGATTTAAAAATGATATTCATTTGCTAACTGCCTCCGTCCCTTCCCAGGGCTGCAGAATAACACCCCTCCTCCCCACCCTCCCTGTTGCCATGCAATTAAATAAAGCCAATCATTGCCACGCACGGTTTGTTTGTGATCGGCAACCGTCACCTTTCCTCTGGCCCAGCAATTTGGTTTTGCTGCATTGGGAGGCCAGGCCAACGCACCATCACTCCTGCCCCCTCCGGAAGGAAAGGGCTGCTGCTTCCAGGGGTGGAAAAGATCCAGCTGGAGAGTAGGAAGCCCTCAGGTCAAGAAATGACTTGGGTAACATCTCTCCAACCTCAGCCAGCAAGGGCGTCTACACTGCTCACTGCACCCAGGCTCCGAATCGGGTTTAAGCCCCAGCCCCCCTTCCGTCCACACCAAACCAGTGACTTGGGTCAGCGAGCCCTCAGGACCTTGCTGGGGGGTGGGTCAGCGTCTAAACCCTGCTGCGAGTTGGGTCCAAGCCCTGTCATTTTGCAGTGGGGATGCAGCGTGAGCCGCAGACTTGCATCAGACGGTCAGTGCAGTGCAGTTCACACGGCTAAGACCCGGGTCCCACCATTGGAAACCCAGGTTTGCAGTGCAGTGTGGCGGCTCAAACGCAGCCTGAGTCCACAAGCCCAGGTCCCACAGACCCGGGTTAAGCGAGTAGTGTAGAAGTAACCCAAGAGATCGTGTTCACGGTGCCCTCTGTAGATCACGCTGCTCTGGGATACTGGACAGCACGGCTGGTTTCGTGTAACTGCCCCAAAGCAAACCCCTGGAGTTAACGCCATTCACCCCGACGCAGCATCACTTGTGCTGCTGAAATCAAAGGCTTTTGGGGTACACCGCCAGTCTTGCATCTAGAGGGAGTTTTTGCCCCAGCTTGCAGGCGTTAAGCACCCCGCAGGATGGAAGCTGGTGTTCCCGCTGATCCCAGGTTTGATTTTAAAGCTCAAGCGTTGGGTGACTGTCGTTGTTGTTATTGTGATGTGTCTTGCCTTTAATTTCTCCCTTTTGGTCCGTGTTTTGATCTGCCCACGAGCATCACTAACCTAAGCAATGAGCTGGATGCATGAGGGTCTCTGGCCTGTGCCCCTTCTTGCCCTGGAATCTATGAATCTAAACCACCTTGGGACTAGGGAGCAAAGATCTCTGCTTGAAAGGGCTCAAAGAGAGGTGGCCGTTACAAAACTGGGCTCTCCTGCTGCTGTCTGGGGTGTAATGGATTCCAAGGCCAGAAGGGGTCAGTGTGACCATCTAGGCCAGTGGTTCCCAAACTTTAACAGGCCGCGAACCCCTTTCACTAAATTGTGAAATCTCGTGAACCCCCTCCTAATAATGAATATTTTCAGGGATTTAAGTTTAAATTTCCTCAGTGTGATGGATGCCCCAACGGCCGGGCCCCGGAATCTATGAACCTCTGAAAAATATTTTTAATTGAAACTTTTTTTAATGAACATAGAAAAACCAGAAACCAAAGATGTTTCTGTAAAATGTTTTTTTGGCTTTTATTTAAAAAAAAATGGTTTCTAATAAAAATGAATTCATTTTTGGTTTTCAAAAATCAGAAAATGTTTCATGAAAACAGTTTTTGAAAATGGACCATTTTTCCGTTTCAGTTTTTTGTAAATTTTTCTTGGGGGGAATTTTGAAAAATGTGAAAAAAATTCAAAAGGTTCTGTGAAAAATGCTTGGTATTTTCACCCACCTCTAGTTTCGGGTGAGGTTGTGGCTGGTGGTAACAAGGAGGGCCGTGGTTCTGGCTTTAGATGAGATTTGGCAAATTCCTGGGGCTCGGGCTGGGGTTCGGGCTGCCGGCTCTCCTGCTGATGGGGGCGGGGCTCAGGCTGCCAGCCCCTACTGCCTGGCCCTGCTCTCCCTGGGGCTCGGGCTGGGGTTCGGGCTGCCGGCTCTCCTGCTGATGGGGGCGGGGCTCAGGCTGCCAGCCCCTACTGCCTGGCCCTGCTCTCCCTGGGGCTCGGGGTGGGGCCCCCGCCCACAGCA